CTGTGGGTCCCCCAAACAGGGAAAACAGAAATTGACAAGGTCAGTATAACTTTATACAGCATTATAGTAACATCTGTTGACTCCACAGCTCTTACCTTGGCTGCTGCAATCACATCAAACTCAACAACCTCCCCATCTCCTACACTGCGGAGGAATTTCCTAGGGTTGTTCTTCTTGATAGCAGTCTGAGGACACAAATCAATCATCAGAGGACGGCATCAACATTTATAACCTTAATATATGAATTTCCCCTTTGTCTTACCTGATGAACAAATACATCTTCTTTGGTATCATTCCTGTGAGGAACAAAATCTAATTAGAAGCAAATGTGGGTAACAGGATGTTAACCTATGAGATTAAAACGAACTGCAACAAACTTTGAGATCACTAAAATGCAGTGATGCCAAGTGCTGTAGATAAACTGGAAGTAAGCCCCACCTGTTTATGAAGCCATATCCATTACGCACATTGAACCATTTCACAGTCCCTTGGACCAAGGTGGCTGTAACATGTAGCACATACATAAGTATCCCGTAACATTTCACACATTGCTGTACAGCCACTCAGAGAACACAGCAGAACGTTATCGTGCCTGTATCAGTGGAAGCCTTATTAACAAGAAAAGGGAGCTCTGTGCGTCAATCATTAACAGCAAGACTTTGAAACCAGGTCGACACGTAGCGCTGGCTGAAAACAGGATTTCTTGTTTTTCCACCTCAAAACTAAATGTATACGAGTCACAAAATCACGGTTTGATCTTCCTCGTGCTAAGGAGAGAGCCTCTCCTTTGAAAACCACCTATACGCATTTAATTGGTACCTTCGCTTCTGGGTACAATCAATTGCACCTGTGAAGACGCGTTCAGCTGATCAAGACGACATTTAGGTCATGCATTCACTTTTAACACTTAAACGCAAATACTACCTTATTATTTGCTTTTCAGTCCAAACACTCAGATTGGAAAAAGCCCTTTAAGTTCACTGTACGAAGACATTAAGAGAAAACGTCATTATCAGGTGCAGTGATGTATAAATTTTGTTTTTCTGCTGGCCAAATAAATCACTTCCATGTTGATGTTCACAGAAGAGGTTTCATTACATTGGTATAAATAGCTGCTTCTCACAAAAGCAATGCGTAAAAGTCGGGACACGTGTTGCTTTTAAAACGAAACACACCGTGGTGCCAGAGGGAAAAAGTTACTGATTGACAGTTATTTGTCGATATACCTGGTTTGCCTTGCTGTAGTTGACAACTGAAAACCACCAGTTTCCCACGTGAAAAACAGCTGACTTTTACACTGGTGAGAAAAACGCCAATAAACTCGATGCGGCAGCACCGTCTGTTTTAGTCATATCATTAGACGCACATGGACTCAGAGTCAAAGCTGGTAGATTGAATTTCCTACAAACTTAAAGACACGTTTGGGCCTAGCTCCTCACCAACCTATTACTCTCCTCTCCGGCTGTGGCTTCTCTTCCACCGGTGCCGATGGTGGAGCGCTCTGCGCTTCGGCGTCGGTCATGCTCGCTGTCGGATAACTAGAGTCACACTGCCGAGTCCCCTCCCTCCTGCTCTTCCCGAAACTTTGCTACCCAGCACGGCTAAGTTTTTATCCCGACATGCCCTCGGGCTCCTGGTCAGAAGCCGTGCCCTCATTGGTTTCACATGAGCCGGAGTTGGGGTGTGATTGGCTTGGCGCGGTCGGCAATTGGGAGGGAAATATTGACAGCTGGAGGACAGGTAGGACTGAGAACAGCCTGATTTTATAACGTGAAGAGTTTTTTTTTTATGACTGATTGCATTTCTACTGTACCATTCTGGAGAAACCTCACATTCCATGTGCAAGATGTGACTCTGGATTAATTATGAACTTCCAAGTTTAATAAAAACACTTTTATTAATATTTACAGCATAAGGACATCATTTATAGATTCTACATGACCTGCACTGTTACCACACAAATAATCAAGCATTTCTACTGTACCATTCTGGAGAAAACTCACATTCCATGTGCAAGATTTAAAATCCAATACTGGATTTAGCAGGCGATTGATAAGAAGGTGCCGTGGACACAGAAGCTGTGTGAGAGGTGGAAAGGGGAGGAGAGTGGAGGGTCACTTCGTGCACATGGAATGTGAGTTTTCTCCAGAATGGTACAGTAGAAATGCTTGATTCTTTATGTGGTAACAGTGCGGGTCATGTAGAATCTATAAATGATGTCCTTATGCTGTATATATTTTAAAAAAAGTGTTTTTATTAGGCTTGAAAGTTCATAATTAATCCAGCATTGGAGTCACTTCGTGCACATGGAATGTGAGTTTTCTCCAGAATGGTACAGTAGAAATGCTTGATTCTTTGTGTGGTAACAGTGCGGGTCATGTAGAATCCATAAATGATGTCCTTATGCTGTATATATTAAAAAAGTGCTTTTATTAAACTTGAAAGTTCATAAATAATCCAGCATTGGAGTTAAGGTATTTTATTTTGAAAATAGCGAGCTTTGGCCCGTTTCAATACCTTTACCGTAAATGTAAGTATATAGAGTATATAGGCGCACTTCAAATTCTAGCGCGGCTGGTTTGACCGCGGAAAACTGAACGGCGGCTGATTTGACCGCAGTTTTAGCCACTGAACCGGCCTACCAGGCACAGACCTGGGGGCCCAGGGGGCCCCTGGAACAGAACCTCTGTGTGAAGTGACTGCTAAAATTTGTCACTGGAAAGTTACACAGCAATAAATAGAGGCAAAATGAGCGAAATCAGATGCAAAACAGCCACAAACACCTTGTTTATGAGGTCACTTTAAGTTATCGCCAACTTGTTTGTGTATATTTATTAACTCGGTCTGTCTTTCGAGATATGAGTTGAGATCACAGAACTCAAAGATTCGGAAAGTACAGTCATAATAAACACACATTAAATGACGTCACAGCTGTTTTCCTGTGTGATCAAATGATAGCACATTCTTGTCTCCGCTGTACATTTACTCATGATACAATGGAAACAAGTTTGTGTTACAAAGGGACAGAAAATCAGTGTTCACAATAAAAAGAAAGCAACGCCAATAATTTGACACATGCATCTGCTGACAATCATCTTGTGTTATCCCATGGCCAAATTATTCCATAAAAATCCATTTTATGACAAATCAATTCATTATTGCTCTCTCCAGGATGCTGGTGAATTATCACCCTTCTGTTAAAGCTGTACTGTTATTTGACTGTGCAAAGTTTTTCTATAAATAAGACTAGTTTCTTCTTTGCCAAGCAAGCGTGTAACAATGTGCATAATTCCAATACTAACATAAGTGATCAATTTATACAACAGAGCAAATATACAGAGGAGCTTTGACACTTCATGCTTCTGTTGTATTATGAGGTTTTTCTCAGCAAAAAACAAAAACAAAAGGGAAAACAGATGTAACTATAGCAGGATGACAGCCAAACAACTGAATAATTTTATCTCACCCTTTTGAAAGGCATTCAGGAAGTCAGCCTTTGGCCAGTAGGGGGAAGGAGACACTTGATTCAGCGTGATACATTTACATGATGAGATGGGCTTTTAATTTGCATGGGAATCAGTCAGAATCTGAATTTTAGGATAATATATTGATGGATTAACCATTAATCATCATTCATAAAGATGTGTTTATTGTAACAATACATTGCTCCATATTGGATTTGCCGTCTGGAGAGTTTGCTGGACATTTTGATGCCTGTTAAATAAATAGGTACTTTAACTTTTGAAGGCTGCTATGCTCTGAGGTTAAACTCACTGTGGGTTTGATGGTCCTTCTTTCTTCTTCTGTGAAGTTCTATAAGAAATAAGAGAATTTTCATTTGGGGTTTAATTATGCCTTTAACTGCAGCCCTGAGCCCATACAGTAGGTTATAGGACTCCAGTTTCACAGCACTAAATTTAACCCAGCAGCTCGAAGAATTGACAAGTTCCCAACCCTTCGCTGTGGACAGATACCATGTGTCTCTTGGCAAAAAGGACTAATTAGAAGTGTAATTCTTAGTAACAGAGGCAATTACAGCAAGCAGAGGAGGACTCTGACAGGATGGCAGCACTGACATGGTTTTCAAAGATACAGGGCAAATTATAAGAAGTGAATGGAATATCCTGCACACCCTGATCCCAGTTCTGTACTTTCGGTACACTGCATCTGGATGAGAAATGCCTACAGTATTTAAGGAAAGGCAGTGGAGTCTGCATGTACGAGACACGGTATCACATTTTTATATTTTGGGAGCAAAATGTTATTAATAATACTATGAAAATATTAAAGTGCTTAACAAGTGGACCTTGAGGTGTTTTTCTCCTTCCAAACCATTGCTTTTACTACTAATAATAACAATAATATAGTAGGTTGGAAGTACGGGGAACGAAGGTATGAATCTATAATAACATTGTAATAACCTCTTTGAGTAACAGCTTGGCTTTTATTGTGACACTTCCAACAGGAAGTCCAGTTTCCAGGCTCTGTAACGTTTCGACAGTGGTGAGGATCCGGAGAAAGTAGAGTGTAGGCTGCAGAGACGGTGCATACATAGCGGGATCCAGGGACCTGGTTATTTTCGGCCCGGTGGCTGGCTTTTGCGGTTGCGTACGTCTCTGCGAGGTAACCCGAAATCTGGAGCTGAAACCGGGGGGGAGACGAGAACGGAACCGTCTGGAATGAAAGCGGAATAAGCTCATACCTACAAAAACGGGAGTGGCATCGCAAACGAGGAGTAGGAGGAAAACCCTAACCTGACGACCCAGTAACACGGATACAGGAAAGCTGCAGAGGAGGAGGACGAGGAAGTAAAGGGAGAAAAGTAACACGAGAGAGACCCATTAGCACTAGGGTAAGTTATTTATCGAAACATCCAATAGACGGGGTTTGTTTGCGCTTGAGCAGACGAGTTATCGATGCACATGTTTGTGTGAACGGTATTATGATATGTTCTCTTCAGATACCCCATGTGAAGTGACAACAACGGTCTGTTGTGCCAAAGAACCACCAGCAGCTCTAGCTAGCTCACCACATCCTAGCTAGGGCTCCATTCGTGTTAGCAACATGGAAACACACCCGATGACTCGTTCGCCTTTATAATTCTTCTAACTTTACAAATCCTGCGAGACTTGGCTGATTTGGACATTTAGCACGAGCTTTATTGCTTTAACTCGGCACACAACAAGATGAAGCTAAATCATAGCCTGTCAATGCGCTGCTGCACAATTATTAGCTTAGTCATTACTGCACGGTAGCGGGCCGATAATCAATTTTTATATCTGTGGATGTGTTTTCGGCCAGGGCAGGATTACAATAACCAGTGTCGTTTTCACTTAAGTTTAGATTTATATTAGCAAGGGCTTAAGTGCCCTAAAGGTTGCCATTTTGCGAGATGTCTTTGCTAGCAGGGGCCGCGGCCTGAGTGCAGTCAGCGCGTATGGACACCGATCGTACGTTACCGACAAACGGGCCGTGGCACCTTGTGTACATGCTAGGCCACAGACCGTCTCTTCGTCAGCACTGCCGACATGCACTGTACAACACACTGTCTCCATGTCGCTCACATCTTTAACATTTTCTGTGCCGTTTACAACAGGAGAGCTGATTAAGTCACGCCCGGTCATGTCTCGAAATATGTTCCTCTGTCAGAATGTTCCCCCTGTTTAACCTGTGTTTTTAGTAGCGCCCCCCTGGTGGCTGTGGTTAGGATAAGGGTAGGGTTCAGTTTAGGGGAAACAGATCTCGACACAACACCGGTGCTTGAAAACTTGGTTTATGGGTCGTTAGCACGGATTAGAACGTTAACGTTTTACGGGCAGCCACTCTGAGCATTAAAGCCTATAATTTGGTTAAGTTGTTTCTCCGAAAAATATTCTTTATGAATGTTTTTATTTCATTGAATATGTGCGTTAGCCACAACACTGTTTGTAGCTAGCTGTGGTAAACAACTGTACTCGTGGCAGGCCAAGACGTAGCACCTGTTTAAAATGTTTGGAGCTCAACTGATGTATAGTTTTTCCTCAAATATTGATGATTAAAATCGCGGCTGATTTATGAAACTCCACATATAGTTTTTGTGAATTTTGTTTGTTCGTTATTTACAGCAGAACTAGACATGGTTTAGCTAAGGCTGATGTTTCTGGTGCCTTATTTAGCTTAGCCTGGGCTGTGTCAACGAGTGAAAGTGTCATTTCCTCTGCACGCCCAAGTTGTAATTTGACACCCAACCCACATTTCTACATTTTCCTGCTCATATGCTCATGGGCGGATTACTAAAGGGGCCTGGCACTGGCTCAGGGACATAATGAGTCCGCCAACCCCTGAACCAGTGGTTCTTCAGTCAGTATTTAACATCTGTCTGGGGGTTGAAACTTAAAATTCATCTTTAGTATTGTAACAGTGTATGGAAAACTGCAACATATCAAAAGTTGGTATTCGAATGCCTGGTCAGATTTACACTCTTGTTTACTTATCCTTGAATGATACATTTGCAATTTTAAAGCACAATTTTGCCAATTTAGACTTTTTTTTTTCCTTTGGCAAAGTTTTTGTGCAGTTTGACATTTCAGAAGTTCAGCTTCTTTTGTTTTATGAAAGGGTCACAGTTAATATTTTCCAAAGAAAGGTACTGAAAAATGATTTGTGTATCTTATTTTGAAGGACTGTGCTGGCTTTAGTACTGAAAATGTCCAGTGATACCCAGATCTTGCGTTCAGGCTCGTTTCACCCATGATATCACAATAATCCAAATCCCAGACACTTTGACGTTTGAGGTCACAGTATTAAATAAATACACCCCCCCATTTTCTTGAATCAGATATGCCTTTGTGTTAATGTCTGTGTCCTGTGTGTCGGCTTCTGCAGCAGGTATGGCAGATGACCTGGACTTCCAGACAGGTGATGCCGGGGCATCCGCCACCTACCCCATGCAGTGCTCTGCCCTGCGTAAAAATGGCTTTGTGATGCTGAAAAGTCGACCCTGCAAGATTGTTGAGATGTCCACCTCCAAGACTGGCAAGCACGGCCATGCTAAGGTCAGTAAACCCTGACAGGGACATTGCTGTTTGACAAAAGTCTCTCAAACTGATGAAGTTAAAGGACATTTTTTTGTACTTTTTCGTGTTAATAGGACTAATAACATATTTTTGTAGTGTGGACTGTCTTTGATTAAAAAAAAAACAAAAAAACACAACACTCCGACAGAAGGAGAGTGTCTGAGTTCTCACTCTGACCATTCATCTCTGGAATAAACACCCATTATTATTAATGCACATAATGAACACAGTCTGTATAAGAACTTTGGTGTGACCCTGCTGGGTTACAGTTGTCCTTCTTATAAAGATATACATTTTTTTGAAAAAAGTATAATAACTTCTAGAAATGACTAAATAAAATTGACAGGCAGCTACAGTTTTTCAATAATGGTGGGTTATTTAAGTACTTGCTTTACATATTGAATATTTTATAGCTGCTGATAATTAATGGAATTTTACGTTTCAAATTGATTTTCCCCACTCAGCGACACACCCGCTGAGAAAACAACTCTGGTAATCGGAGACTCCATAGTCAGAAACGTGAAGCTAGAG